GGCGTTGCCAGCTGAGGCTCTTGGGTCGGTGACGGCTGCAGCAGCAGGTGGACAGACGCTGGCCGATGAGCTGCCTGGACCATCAGTGCAAGTTGCACAAGTTTCCGACCTTGGAACGAGGCCAGGGAGCAGGCCGAGTCTGGCAACCAGGTGCAAGGCTTGCTGCTTGAAGGCCTCAATAAGCTGGGCAGTCTTGTATCTTCGCTAACCGGGCGCAAAGAGCCTTTGGGCAGGAGCGAAATCCGCTTCAGCAACGAGCGCAAGCGCAGGTGTGTGGCAACCAACTGGAGCCCCTTTGGGGTGTGTGGACACTGCCCCCCTGAACAGCCATTTCGACTGTTTGGCGTTGGAAGAAAGGGCCCGCCATACTGGCTTTGAAGCCCATCCTTTCAGCTCGCTTGCCGATCGTGTTGCGGTTGCAGACAGGACAGCCGTGGTGGGAAAGTCCTTGACGGGAGCGCGCGCTGCTTTTCCGGACGTGGCCGACACTAGCGCAGGTTTTCCGGACATGGCCGACACAAGCGCTGGGTTTGGCGGTACAGCCGGCGCAAACAGTGGTTTTCGCTTGCAGTGGCTGGCACAGCTGACGCAAACAATGGTTTTATGGGAGTGACTGGAGCAAACAGTGGCTTTCCGGGAGTGACCGGAGCAAACACTGGCTTTCTTGGAGTGACTGGAGCAAACACTGGCTTTTCTGGAGTGACTAGCGTCAACACTGGCTTTTCTGGAATGACTGGGCAGGTTGGGACGCAAGGCGTGTTGTCACGCGCAATGCTGGAAGCTGGAGGTCAGATCGTTCCTGTTAGTGTGAGCGCTCTACCGTCTGAAGCTGCTGCGTTGCAAGGTGTAGTTGGCTACCTTTCAGGAGACTATGGATGGCCCCCAAAGGTCTGAAGTATTTGAGGATTTTCCTTGTTTGTCCCTGACGAAGGATATCCTGTCACTTCCGACAACATACTCCAGGGGGCACAGCACTTCCTCAACAGCCTCCTCAGGTAACTGTGGGCATTGCTGGTTACATATTGTGACGGGGATGGCTGCGACATCGGTGCCCTGCCTCGGGAAGCCGGGGAAGAGACGACCCGAACGGAAGCTGGAGGTGCAAGTTTGTGACATGAAGCCATGCCCGCACAGTCATGATGGTTGGCGACTCAGTTGATGTGTGGACAAGGAGAGTGAAAACAAGGGACGTGTCAAGCGGCGCCCGCGTGCGGAATGGGAGGATGCCACGGCGGAGGAGGAGGGAGAGCTCAGGCGTCATGAGAGAATGAGAGAGCTGAACAAGAAGCAAAGGCCATTGAGGAGCAACAAGATCTGGAAAGGTGGGATAGACTGAGATCAAGCCAGGCTAGAACCTGGGATGACTGCGCGATTCACAGTGAGCTCGGTGTACAGCCAAGATATCGCCCACTCAAAAACTTCTGTGTCAGGTTTCAAGTACAGGATGGAGAAGGCAATGAGATAACAGTAGCAGACCTGTAGGGAGAACTCACGCCACCAGAGACACCCCTTGTCACCTTTGCAGTGGAGTAAACGATCGCGCAGGTGCCCATCGAGACAGACCCGGAAGGTGATGGACAAGATGGCGGACAAGGTGCAGAGCAGGGCGGCCCGTGCAACCGGGAGAACCGGCTAGCCCGGAAGGGGCCGAGCCTTACGATGTAGAGGAACAGGACTTGAACTTGGCGAACATGGTCAGCCTGGAAGATATACCTACCTCGACTTGGCTCCAACTCTGGTGTGATCACCAGGTTGATCGTTCTATGGTGCTGCAAAAGTGGGGCGCTCAGGTCATGGAGACGTTTGAGGTGAGCCGTCAGATGATATCCATGGAGCAGACAGGGTTGACAAGGAATATGTGGCAGACGCTGACGACGGTGCAGATGGCCAAGCAGAAGTGGCTGGAGACGGAACCAGTGGGGGCGAGCGTGGCGGTGTGGCGCTCCACCAACAAATGAAGGCGCAGGAGTTGATGCGCGAGAAGACGATCAGGGACATGCACACGAACAAGTTCATGGACATGAAGGGTCTGGGACAAGCGCAGAGCAGGAAGAAATGATCGATGGGATCTCCGCAAGGGCAAGAGCTGTGGCATCGCTAGAACAAAATAACGAAGAAACAGATCAGACAAACATAAACTGAAGGATGCAACTGTGTTGGATGCACGTCGGCCACGTCTTCTGTCATTGGCGTCTACAGGTGGAGGAGGGAGCATGGAGATGAATGACAATGAGGGTGTGTCGGGAGCAGATATGGGAGACACAGCAGGAGGTCTTGCCTGACACGCAGCTTGACGCAGGAGCTGTGGCTGGCGTGGCGGAGGGTGATGGTGGCACGGCGGCTGCTAGCTCAAGGAGTACTGAGAGGGATGCACGAGGTAGTGTCCAGACTGACTTGGCAGGATGGCTGAAGTAGCCGTCCTTGGCTGCATGCCCTTGTTTTCTGCTGTGTCAATGCAACCTTGATTGTTGCTTCCCTATTGAATGGATGGAGATATTGGAGCACACTCCTGTATAGCCTGTTTCGGTGCTGGGGCTGAACTGACTGGACCGCGGGCTGATTTTTGCATTGCTGGAAGCATGTGCTTGGGCCGTGTTCTTCGAACATCTTTATGGGACGACTCGTGCCCTGGAGAAAAGGTCGGACTTATAAAGGAATAAGACAACACGGAAAGAAAACCCGAACCCAAACAGAGGACGAGCCCTATAACTTGAAAGGAGTAAGATAGCCCTGAAAGAAATCCGAAACCCTAAAAGCGATAAACCGAGCCCTAAACCCTAAAAGACGTAAGATAACCCTGAAAAAACACGAAACCCTAGAAGTAATGAGGCAACCATGACTCAATGACAAACAGCCAGCCGTCGACCCTAACCCACTAGACCCGACCAGGAGAAGGACAGCCCCAAAATAAGGCTAGGCCAAGACCGTCAGAGGAGTAAGAGAACCCTGAAGGAAGAAGTAAAATAATCCTTAACGATTATGGCTACTATTACTAGTATTACGAAACTCTAAACCCAGGCCCAAACCCTGAAAGAATGTAATTAATAAACGTGTAAACCTTGAACCCAAGCCTGAGCCCAAAAAGAGTAAGATAACCCGGAAAAAACCCGAACCCTAAAGGGAGTGAGCCGAGCCCTGAAGGAACCCCAAACCTAAAAAGAAACGCAAAAAACCCTTACCAAAAGGGGGCAGATAACCCAGTGAGCAACCCAAAAGCGCGGCAGGTCGCACGTCCCAGCAAACAGGGGAAAAAAAGGCAGCTGACCTAAACAAATTGCAGATAACTCATCCAGTGAAACCGAAAAGTGGCGCACCCTGGGAGAAAAAATGGCGCAGATAACCCACCGAAAAAGATGCAGATTACTTACTTTCTTCCGGAACCTCACGTGTGTAAGCGAACCTCTGCATCCGCTTGCCATGTCGGTTCAAGTTGGATTGGACAGTCACACGGGCCTCGGGATACCAAGGTCTTTCTGATTTTGTTGTTGCCGCGTTTGTTGGTTGGTGTTACTGGACGTGGCTCCGTATCCCAGTGATGTTCCGGGGAATGAGACGCTTCGTGAGGCGTTGGTGGCAGCGAAAATGGATATGAGTGCGGTCATTCTGAGCGTATGGAGGCTGAACGGCTGGGATCGAGACCGCCTTCGCTTCGTTGCGGGCAGCTGCCACAAGGTACCATTCCTCCAAGCCTCCAGGGTGACCTTCCCCTTGCTTTTGGTTGTGGACGTCTACAGCAAGTTGCACCCTTGGGCGCGCGGTTTGTGGAGGCTAGGACACCGTTGTTGAAGAGATGCGCTCTGTTGCCTCTCACTACTCCCCAAGGATCACCAGAAGACTGTGAAGCATACGGAGCGATGTAAGCTGCAGTGCGTTGATGCGAAGAATGGCTTCTGCCTGCTTGCAAGCCGCCAGAAGTGCAGGCCTGTGTGGCATGTTTTGCCAGTGCGGGAGTAAGCCAGTGCGTTTCGAGCCCCAGTCAGTGTCCGATGACACGGCTTGCAAGCTCATAGACAACGTGCGGCAGAACATTTCGAGGTGTTTCAGAGAAATTTCAAAGTACCAGAAACAGTCAGAAGTGTCATCAGGTTGGCCGCCCCCCCCCCCCACCTCAAGACGGGCCTCTGGCATTATACCTGGGCCGGCACAGGCTTTTTGCCCAGAAGGTGGAGGTGGGTTTGTTGACGAGGCCAAAATTATCCAAGAAACTGCTCACGTGCGCACGCCGTAAAGGTAGGCGATGGACAATTTCCTTTCTGACCTTACGTGAGACAACGTCTGTGAGTCCCACCTGGCGTCTCGAAGTGGGCCCAGGCTTGAGTGCCAAAGTTCAAGAGGTCGATGGCTCTTGATGCTTTTTCGCAAATTCCCAGGCCCTTGATGTCTGCAGGCCGGTCATGATCTGATCTGCAGCGTTGGCTTGGATGATTGGTTCTCGCGTTCAGGACAATGACGTGTCGCTTGCTAGGCGTCGGCGTTGGGACCAACTTATGCACTTGGACATCTTGGTCTTCATCGAGTTTCGCCGACTGGACAGATCTTGCTTCTACCTGCTACGTCTTCATGCTGACTTGAGCTGAGGCCCCCGGTTGTCGCGGGAGCGGGATCTGCGGATTCACACTAAAACATGGGAATGTCCTTTCTCCCGACACATCGGGTCGGCTGCTTTCTGACTTGTCTTTGGCTCCGTCCGTTTGCTTGGCCTGCCTTTTGGGTCAGGACACGGATCGGAAATCGGTAAAACAGTGTGCTGCGTTGAGTGATTGCATTGTGATTACTGAAAGCACTAGCGCATCAAGCTGATTGCGTCTGACTGGTCTCCACAGCCTTGCGCGCAGAAACCAAACGCTCTTGGTGGGGGAATGTGGGGACAGGCTCAATGGGGTGACTCACAGTCTTGTTGGGCAACTCTTTGCTGTTGGCGATCAGAGGTGTGCCTGGCGTTGTGTCCCAGCCAACATCGAATCGATAGAGGCACTTATTCTTACTGTAAGTTTCGGCAGGTCCACTCGCTTCTTCGCACCAATTTCGCTTGCTCCCTGCCACGTAGACAGGCTGCAAGGAGTTCTTTGTTGCGTTGTTGCCGTTCACTCCTGCGTGCCAAGGTAATCCAAGGCCAGGAAGCGGGAAGTTCACGCTGAACCAGATCTATTCTCTGCTCTTTGAGGCCGGGAGCTTAAGGAGTTACAGAGTTCAAGCATGTTGGGCGTGGCTACTTCCCAATGTTGCTTTTCAGGCGAGCAGGTTGATGTCCACGATATTTTGCTTGAACCTGTGCACCAGGTGCCCAGTGGCTTGATGCCTGGTAACTTCGACGCCGCCCGTGCCTTGTTCTGTGCAGCTCTAAATTGTGTTAGCTTCGAAGTCTTTTGAGGCTTTCGTGGAAGGTGAACCAATCCTGCTGCATGCTGAGACGAGAGCACATTGAGCTTGGTCACTGGTATGCCACAGACGGGTTCTGAGGAGATGGTTGTCGTCCAACACTGCAAAGCTGCGGCAAGGTGGTGACGGGGAGGCGCAGCTGAAAGCAAAACAACCCATCACGTCCTACCTTCTGAGTTGGGATGCTGGAGATTTTCCAGGTATGGACAGCTTTGAGCTCGGCACCTTTCGGGAAGCAGCACAAAGCACCTCAGGACGCCATGTGACGTGATCGATGAAGCCACAAGGTGTGTCAGATGTTTGATAATGCAGGAGTTCCTGGAGGGGACCCCCAAGGAAACAGAGGCACGTGCCTTCAGTATCAGAAAGGCTTCCCAGACGGCTTAGAGGTGGTGGACCTCATGCTGGGGGCTGTGGAACGTGTGGCAAAACTGGCCACAGGGAGCCTGGGAATTCAGGGCACCTTCGGGTTGAAACAGAAGAATACAGAGCTTGGGCCTGCAATTCAGGAGTCTGCGAGGCAGCGTGCGAGCCACAAAGCCCCAGAGCTTGCAGAGAGGAAAAGGCTTTAGGAGATTCTTTCTTGTGAATGCATTTTTTTCCTGCTTTGAGGTTGCAGCTCTGGGGCGCGGCCTTGCCAATCACACGCACCTCGACCCAGAAGGGTGCAGCTTACACTGCCAGGGTCACGTTAGATTGCCACTTTAGCAGTCCACCAGCCTCCTCATACAAGCTGACCCTCTTGCGGCCTTGGAAGTGAGGTTGGGCGAGCCGAGACAGTGTGGACTTTGCCTGGTCATCAAAGCACCGGATCGGCATTGCAGGTGGCAATCAGCAAGCATGTAGTGCGTGAAGCTGCATGATGCCAGAGAGCTAGGCGACTGGCTCACTGCGTCGCCAGAGAGGGCCTCCACCATCGAAGCCGCGTGGCTTTCGGGTGTCCGGCTGGCTGACCACATTGCTGCGCTCCCGGATGTATTTCTCCGTTTGGTCGGCTGAGTCACCACTGCATGAGGCGCGTTTGGGCACGGAGGATGCCGGCATCCAGCTGGGCCAACGCCTGACGGGAAACCCGCCTTAGAAACATTTGCTGGCAGTTTCACACGAAGGCGAGGACGGAGGCGCCTTTGTGCCTGTGGAGAAAGCGGACTTCGGCACCGCGGCCGGCGAGGCCGTAGCTGGCCCAGCCATCCGGCTCGGAAGCAGAGGACGTTCAGTCACAACAACTGCAGCAGCAGCAGCAGCAAGAACAACCAGGGCTAGCTACGGCTATCTACGGTAATGCGGGTTTTACATGATTTTGGTATCCTCGGCTCAGGCCTGGGTCGCAGAGGAAGAGCCCAAGGGAAAGGGAAAGGGCCGCGGCTCCAAGGCTGGGTCTCCCTCTCGACTCTGAGAGACATGCGTCCTGACTGCAGGGAAAGGGCAAGAGCCCCAAAGGTGCGCAAGCTGAGCGAGTCGCACGATAATTCCAAAGCGAGGTTGTCTCTCACAAGAAGGAAAATACCATCCGCTCTGCCTTGAATTCTCTAGATTTTGTTTGAGGGAGCCGATTTGGGCATGCTACAAAAAAGGCAGTGTGCATTTGGACTGTTGGCCCAAAGCACTCAAGACGAGGCTGGCCCAGAGCAGTCTACACGCCATGCAGTTTGGTTATGGAGCTGGCTATGCCGCTCCAAGTCCCTGCGCAGCCAATGGCTTTGGGTGGACTCCTCAAGTGCCCCTTGCCAGCAGTTAGTAGGCCACCCCTTTTGCTGAGTGCCCCAGGCTTGGATAAGTGCCCTTCTTGACAGGCGCAGATGAAAATCTTAGAGCGGAAAGCCTTCACAGCTAACCTTTCACATCCTTACGCCTTACGCCTTACGCCTTACACTGCCTTACATGCTGGCTCCCAACTGCGCTTAAAGCATTTACCCGAGGAGGAATGTCAAGGATGCAGCGGAGCAAAAACATATCCAACAAGGGCTCCTTCCAAAGAGTCTTGACACTGTGATGAGCACGAACCATCTTGGCTATGTAGCAAGAACACCAAAAATTCGTGGTGGATGAGAAGCGTTAGACAGTGTTTTTGTTGCGCACAACAATGAGCACAACGATAGGCTCCGACAGGCCTCACTGCTCACGCAGGCTCGGCAAGAAACATGTCTTCGCGGATGCCTACAATTACCATGCGGGGGACTACCCATACTTTGCCTCCAGCTGTCAGCCAACTGGTCATGTGTTAAAGTAGCTTGAGAAGCGCGATCCCGCATCATCCATTGAGGTCTTCCATTAGCGCTCAATCCGGTTACGGAGGCTACGGTTACAACCAGGACTCACACCAAGGGTCTACGGCTCTGAACGGCAAGAATGGAAAGAGCGATGGCAAAAGCAAGGGCAAGAATGGCAAGAACGGCAAGAATGGCAAAGGAGGCCAGTTTTCTTGGCCTCTCCAATGTGTGCGGTGGAGGCACTGTGTAAACTGTAAACGGGAGGTGGTGACAGAGACCCTTCCCAATGGTCTGGACAAGGCAACGTCGAGGCAGAGAGCTGCAGAGCTGCAGAGCCGGGGGAACAGCAGAGATAGAACCTCTCATTTTCTTTACAACGATGCTTTTGGTGTTTCCAGGAGGCTTTATCAGGCTTCGATGCAATGTCGGCTGCTGCGAGCAGCTATGTCAAGAAGGCACCGAAGCAGGCTCCTCGACGCTCTAAAAGGGTTTCTTGTGCCTCTTCTTGTGGTCTCTGGCTGCGCTGGCCCCGATGTCGTGCAGGTGAAGGCACCAGCAGAGATGAATGCGCCTTCCTACGAGGAGCGCAATCCATATCGGCTGAAGAATAATATCCGTGCCTGGCACACGGATGGCTCTACAAGCTCGGTCCCGGAGCCTTATGGCACCTACCCTGAGGCAGATCTAGAGAAGAACCCATTGAAGTTTAATGGCTTTCATGGAAGAGGCCCAACTTCCGCGTGCGCTTCTGGATGGCTTCAAGCGGGCTGGGTTCCAGGCCCCGACGCCCATCCAGGTGCAAAAGAAGAGAGCTTCAAAAGCTTCTTGCAATGTAAGCTCTGGATTCTTGAGAACAGCTTGTCTGCTGAAGGCACAGGTATGGCCCATCTTAGATAATGGCTGGGACGTGATCGGCATTGCAAAGCCGCCCAGAAGCATTTCCTTTTCAACAAAGCAAAGCAGATAAAGCAGGATGCAAACTTTTTCAGCAGATATTCGGACCGCAAATTGAGGACCGGCTCTGGCAAGACCCTTGGCTTCCTGGTGCCGGCTTATCGGTGGATGACTGCAAGCTATGCAGCTGGCATCCGCACCCTGATCATGGCACCCACTCGAGAGCTGGCCACGCAAATCCATGATGAGGCAAGCCTTTGCGAGCGCATGATCACAATTGGCTTGACAGCTTGCAAGATCTTGCAAGCCTAGGCCAGCAAGTTTGCCGGGGCCTCAGGCTGCTCGAGTGCCTGCGTCTACGGCGGCCAGCCGAAGCGTGAGCAGCTGCCGGCCGTGCGGGCTGGTGCCCCAATCCTGGTGGCCACACCGGGGCGGCTGAACGACTTCTTGGAGTACAAGGCATCCTCAGGGTATACACAAGTTGGCCGATTGGCCCCTAGGCAAAGTAAGAGTCCCGAATCCCTTACAGTGGGTATTTTGTTGCATATTTGTTAACCACAGCTTTTTTTCGTAAAAAGCAGAAGTGACTTGGAGAAGTAGGGACGGGTCGCCTTTCCTTGCAGGACATTAACCTCTCGGTGGTGGGCTACTTGGTTTTTGACGAGGCCGATCGGATGCTGGACATGGGATTCGAACCGCAGATCCGGGAGATTATGAAGAAAGTGCCGCGGAAGAGGCAGACTCTAATGTTCTCCGCGACCTGGCCTGAGGAGGCAGGACGAGCAGGTGATGTCCGTTGTGATGTCTTCTGTTCAATTGGGTCTGAGGTGCAAAACCTCGCGTGGCCTGGCTGGCAGTTTGCAGGGCATGCGCTAGCTTGAACCCGCCTCCTGAGGCATGACTTCCTGAACTCTCCTATCCATGTGCAAGTGGGCAACACCTCATCCTTGTCTGCAAACGAAGACATCAGTCAGCAAGTCTGGATGCTGAACTCCTCAGATGACAAGGATCCAGCGCTTGTGCCTTGGCCAGACAAAGGCCAAGGGTCAAAGGAGAGTTGTGAGCTTTTTTCGTTCGAGGAAAAACTCAGGTTGAGGCCCTGCAGCTCTACGGGGGCCCCAGGCAGAGAGTCCTGGTCTTCGTGGCCATGAAGAAGCAGTGTGATGCCCGAAGCCCCAACTCGATCTCACGATCAGTGTCCCAAACGTGTTTGGTAGAGATGGGCCTTGGCTGCTGCGCGTTTCTTAGATGGTGATGCGCATGCTCCGCAAGTACCAGATCTCGGCAAATACCATGCACAGTGACAAGGAGGGGCCGCCACGGACTGCGTCCACCCTCATCCGCCCTCAATCGCTCATTTCAGTCCCTGAGCCCTTCTGGAGGATCAGCAGCAGCGCGAGGAGGCGCTTTATCAGTTCAAGACGGGTGAGACATCGGTGCTCATAGCCACGGATGTGGCAGCACGTGGACTGGACATTAAAGGCCTGGCATGTGCTTTGGCTGGGAACGAGGGGAAGAGCGGGAAGGGTTGCTTGGGCCAGGTGTGACCCTGGCCAGCAGCTCAACATTGCTCGGTGTGTCTATATGAGGGACTTGGTGTTGGGCCGAGGTGATCAACTACGACTCTGCCAACAGCACCGAAGATCATGTTCACAGAATAGGACTTCGCATCACAAGGGGCACAGTCACAGGCAGCTTGATCCAAGCCATTTCTGCAGGACGAACCGGACGTGCGGGACAGAAGGGCCACAGCATCACCTTCCTGACCAAGTCAGGCACGAGCTCGAGTGAATCTAGTGTATGCTGGAAGGAGCTGGGGAGCGTGGGGAGGACGTGGGCAGGGCGCGGGAAAGGCTCCTTTTTTGTCAGCCTCAGATTTGGAAACCAGTTTATAACTCATTTCAATGGTAGCCAGCAAAGATGCGAGGCACCTCAACAGAACATAGCGCGGGATTCAGAAAGTGGGCGTGGGTTTTCACTTGTACGTACGCACTGATAATATTTGCACATATTTGCAAAAACATTTCTGCAAGCAGTGTCTCTAGCTTGGGAGTGGTGCCTTGAACTGTAATCTGGAAGGCGAAGATGCTTGGAAGGCAATTGGCATAGCGGAGGTGATGCAGAAGGCAGGTTGCTCGGTGCCCCCAGACATGAAGCAGGCCGGGTGGAGGCAACCATGAAAGAATCAGATTCCTTGACCCTGTCACGCTTCGGAAAAAGAATGTCTGAATCTTCAGGTCGTAGACCGGATGCTTTGGAAGCGCCAGCAATCTCAGCAGTATGGGACTCAGCAAAGCCGCGCTACTTCACTCGTCCAGCCGGTCCGCTAATCCTTGAGGAATGACTCCCGTTGGGACAACTTGCCTAAGGCAAGGCACCAAGCACCTTCTTCTGAGGTGGTTTTGAGGTTGCAGCGGTTTGAGGTTTTGATGGTGGCAGAGAAACCATCGGTGGCGAAGCTGATCGCGGAGATCCTTTCGGGTGGCCGCATGCGCTTTCGCAAAGGCGCAGAATTGACAAAGAAAGCACTTCTTCAACATTCTTCAACTCTTTTCAACCCTCTGGCCATGGAGCTTGTTTCTGGCAGGCCAAAGCCGAGCTGTTCAAATCTATGAGTTCAACAGCTACTTCCCCCCAGCCCACCAGCAGTGCCGGATCATGCAGGCCATTGTCATGGCAGTGTATAGTCACTGATGGTAGTATCTCAGCTTGAAGCAGCGGAGCAACTAAAAATTGTATCCTGCAGACCTCCACCATCGGCCACGTCTTTGGAAGCTCAGAAGAAATGGGCTATCATTGCAACTCCTAACCCCGATGATACTCCCCTATAATATACTCCTTTATATAACCACCTGTCAGGGAGGTCAGACTATAGCTCAACCAAGATGGCTTGAACAGCACGGGGCTGCGAAGGCACTGTTTGCTGGGCCATTTCCGTCGTGCTTTCGCTGTGGGCTTTGTTAGCTTTGACAGTCAAGGACTGGACTTCAAGGACAACCGCCCAAAGGACGTTGCTGACCTTTTCCATGACCCTTGCAAGAAAACCATCGAGGATGGGACAGTGCCTTCGGCAGCAAGTCTGGCTTGCGAGGTGTTGTCCTTGATCAGGGCGCAAAACCTGTACAGGAAAACAGAGGCAATTACATGCAACAGCGTAGAGTTGCAGGGAACATGGAGGGGGGTCAATGAAGGGGGGGGGCGGAAAACAGACCCAACACACGTGAAGGAACATGTAAAAAACACTGAACTCGTAACAGACATACCATACTCATTAGATACCCAGCAGTCCATCGCCAGGAGTGGTGAAGAAAACTAAGCAAATCAAGTATGGGAAAGCAGAGGTTCTCTCAAACATGAAGCTTCTACAAATGACCTAGCAGCGCTCATAGCAGTATGACTAGCCGTCCGTGCAAGGGAGCAGGGGAGGCAAGCAAGCTACCGTTTCATCCGCACAGTTTCCTGCAAGCAAGGATGACACGCATAAAATCTCAGACACAAGATAGTATGGAAAAGAAAAACAAGCCACAAACAACAAAACGCAGACCCCACCCCGACCACCCTCCCGTAAAAGACCCGCGGGACACGCGTACAGGTCAAGCGGACGGCTCCGAAACCAACAGATACATAAGCCGACCCTAGGGACCTGTCCGGCCTCAAACTCCTGGTCGAGGACTCGCGCTTAGGGTTACGGCGCCTACCTTCACCCTTGGCAGCGACCAGGTGAGCCGGCATTGTATCCAAAACTTCGAGGTGGACACCTACAGCCATATCATATACCTGGCAGGCCACCGGCTCCCCATGCGATGCGGCTTCCACACTAAGTTCAGCACTGCAACCGGGGTGACCAACCAAGACACGAGTTCGCGGAACACTTCAAGTTTCCACGGAGTTGGCCGCTCCACTGGGAGCTGCGAAGGGTCAAGAGAGGATGTACGTTGCCCTGTCCAGCCTGGGAGTTCCTGAGCTGGAAGGCACGCCCATCACGTCCCATCGCGTCAAAAGCGGCTGTGGCATTCCTAGGAAGCCGGGACTAGCACAAGCACTACACACAACAAGGAACACATCTTCCACATTGTAAAAGCAAGTGCGCAGGCAAACGGTATAGCACCACAGGCCGGATAGCTGTAAAGACTGGAGCATTGTCTACGCAGTGAGGACATGTAATTGGTAGCTGTTGACGAGTAGGCTTGTGAGCAGTGTTCACGTACATGCGAACAGAATCAGGGCCAGGCCTCACGCCGTCACAGACAGGACACGTGAAACGAACAGCCCTTTCCTCATGTAGCCTAGCATGCTGTGTCATGGCACTTTCCCCTTCGAAAGAGCGACAGCACTTCGGACAATCCCACCATTGTTCGCGGTGTGTACCATGAGGATGCTTAAGAATTATGTGGTGTGAGAGGCCAGATTTTGTGGTAAAACTCGGACCGGGTTCAGGGCACAAATGTGGCCCCTTCTCTATCCGTGGGCACCTCTCTAAACCAGTACTTGCCGCGCATGCAAGCTACCGGTATAGCATCCTTCACAGTGCAGGTCCCACAATTTGCAAACGCAGGCGGTCTATTTTGTTTTGTCCGCAAGCGTCTTCTGGGGGGTCCAGTGGTGTATATGGCCGTCACTGCATCAATGGATCCTGCAAGGGCATAGTCCGTGTAGAGCAAGCGAATTGCCCCGGAAGCCCAACCAATCGAAACCGACCAAGGTCTAAATCATGAAGCATGGCAGATTCCCGCTGTTCTTCAGCAGGAATATCAACAAAGTTGTCTGCAAAATCGATTGACGCCCAATCCTGCCCAAAGAGGCGCTCACCAGAACTCGCGTACGTTTCAAACGATGTGGTGTAAGGAGGCTGCGCTGCTTCAAGCGCACAGAAGGCTTTGGCCTTGGCGGCCTTGGTATCCTGACTCTGAATCCACCTGTCCGCCTGCACCATGCTAGCCTCAAAACTCTTATTTTCAACAGCAACCTTACGCGCAGTCAGCCTCCAATCATCCCCAACCTAGGATTAATATCAGCAAGCCGCAAATTTCTCAACCAGATTTTGACGATACCATTTACCTGTTAAGCGCCCGGGGAGAGCGCGCAGTACCTAGATCGTCCGGTAGAAACGCACATAGAATTTTTTTGGGGAGGCAATCTTTGGACATATGGGCAACATGGCCGATCCAGCGAAGTTGAGACTGTGTTACCAAGGATAGCACATCCGGAACACCAAGCCAAGCCTGTAAAACTTGACAATTTCTTCGGAGCATGTCCTGAGCGCTACAACGCATCCTTGTCTGCAACCAGGCCAAGAATCGCATCGTCGAGCATTTTCAGGAGAGGGAGGGGAGACCTTAGGTTTTGCGATATGAACAGGCGCCGAGAGAAATGATCTGTGCCTTGAGCAGCATCACATGAGCTCACCTGGGCGATGCCGCTGCGATCGGTCTTTCAACTGAACAGAGCCCCCCTGCATGAAGCGAGAACTCCCACAACTCATCCCGTACCAGGAGCTGGCTGCCGAGGCCGACTACCTGGCCTTGTGGTTGGATTGTGACAAAGAGGTGGGGTGTGGTAAGGGGCCAGTTGTCAGATGCGCAAAGGAACGACCTGTCCAGGGAGAGAACATCTGCTTCGAGGTTATCTCGCTGTGTGGCGGCCATGGATGGGCAGTGGACCGGGACTGACGTGCAAGCAGACGGCTGCCTAGGTGAGAACATCCCAAAGGACAACATTTACAGGTCTGTGCCCAAGCATTAGCATTTGAGACTTTGTCTGCTGAATCTGTGCACTGCACGGCACCAAGTTGACGGTCTTACTTGTCCAAGCCCTGGGAGTGGGATCCAGGATGTGATCAGAAAACTGGGAACTGTCTCGCACCTCAATGTGCTTGATCCCTTTGGTAGTTACAAACTCACCTCATCACGCCCACAAAGAGCACCAACAGTGAAAGTGAATGCCAAGCTTGTATTTCAAATGCAAGGGAGGCGCCGCAAATGTGAAGAGCTTCAAGCTAATGGTATGTCGTCGAACGAGCTTCACTGTGCGTTTTCGATTTGGCATGTGTTCCAACCGCTGTCCACCTGGCCCAGATCTGGCCCAGATTTAGACGATCGGACTACAGGCTTCTGCGAGACGGCCCTGGTGGCTCAAAAAGGTGATCTCAGAAGCCCTGAAAATTGTCAACACATTGGGCCATACCGGGCAGTAAGGCCAGCACTTGCGCAGCCAAGCAATGTTTGGCAGAAGGACAGGTGTGATTGCAGATGTGTGTTTGGCGCAATTTGGCAACTGTGAGAAAGAATGTTTGGCAGAAGGTTTGCCCTTGCACAGTGGGATGATGTGAGATGCCAAGGGCTCAGTTCTCCGCCCTGACCGAGCCGGAGCTTCGAGGTCCTCCGTCATAGCACACGGCACTTTAAGCTGAGAAGCTAAGAAGAGTTAAGAAGAGCTCCTCCTTGAGGGGCCTACAACAACCTGGGACGACCCGACAAGTTGGCGGCGCAAGCGGCCCGGGCCTTGGGAAATCCAAAACCGCTCCACTTTCTCACTGCCCCACTCCTCACTCACTCCCTCACTTACTCACTCTCCCACTCTACCACTTGCACTCTCCCAATCTCCCACTCCCAATCTTCCTCCTCTTCCTCTCGCTTCCCTTCCTTTCTGCAAGCTCTGCTCAGGTTGATGCTCGGCAGGACCCTGACCTTCTCTTGCAACAGTTGACGAATGTTGAACATGTCAAGGAGAGACTCGTACCCCCTACGCCCTGCTATTAAATTGCCACCAGATCCGGTCATAAGACTGTTGCACTTATCGCACCCGGCATCAAGGTCAAGACTCCTAGCATCAGGTACATGTAGTAAGGAGTACCAGACAGCAGACCCTATGCCAGACTCGGTGTGCATGAGTATGCACGGGTGCACGGTGAGAACATCAGCTTGTGCTTGCTCGTGCCAGTGCCGAATCAAGCTAGGGTCCCATTCCATTTTCAGATGCCTGCCCACAACTCCAGCTTCAGTTTCGCGCGGTCGAGCAAGAATTGCAAATAATCCAGTCTCAACACAGCACTTCTGAGAATGCCAGCCGAGATCTACTACCGCAGTCCGACAGCTCCGCTCTGAACGTTTAGCTCGCTGCTGATTCCAGTCCCAAAATGCCCACAGAAGGAGCTGGACCTGAAGATCGGCTGTATCTTCACTCGGCTGATGACCCGCCAGTACTTGCGCTACGCCATTGAAAAGTACCTGCCTCAACGCAAGTCTGAGAGAAGAAGAAGAAGAGAGGTCCCCCACTAATCTGTGCCGCAAACATGGGATCTTCGTCGAGTCTAGAGGGGTGGAGTTAAGGACAACGAGGCCCAACAGCTGCCCCATAGCCCCAATGAAAGAAAGAAAGGAAAGGGCCCCCCTGCAGCCAGCATATTTGGGATTCACACCAAAGGGGGCGGTGGGAAGTTCCAGTCACAGGGAGGGCTCATAGCCTCCCTTAACGCCGCCCTCACAAAAGAAAACGCAAGAAAAGGGACAGCAGGAGGGCACCGTATTGTGGCATTGACAAGGTTTCGCCTGAGGGATCAGACCTGCCTGAGCTACGGACCTTGCCAGACGCCGACGCTTTGGTTTTGCCACAGCCTGAAAGCACCTGAATGCAGTAGATGTGCGGCTTTGGGAGATTTTGAGGTGTAGAGAGGCACAAGGAGATCCAAGGATTCCAGAGGCTGGCGTGTGTGCACATGCAAAGGCTCAAAATTTGTTCCTCAACTGCGCTGTCCTCCTGCAAGGCAGGAGTACTACAAGCCAAAAGTCTCCGTGAATTTGGATGGCTGGCCTTTGGAGTTCGACTGGCTTGACGGGCAGACCTTTGATGCAGGCTCTCTGCACCCTGCGTTCATTACAAAGCTCATTACGAACTTGCGATACAAATCATTTTTTGAATGTCGGCAGCGGTGCCTTCACTTGCTGGTGTCCCAAAGTCGTCAGCACCATGCAAAACTCGTGAGCTTCACGTTAGGCCGCATCAAGTCCTTGCAGTCCCGGGCGCAATCAGCAAAGCAAGCAGTCGTCAAAGAGCTCAGGATCTCCTAGAGCAGATTGACAATGTCAAGCAATGTCAAGTTTGGAGCCGCGTTGGCAGGATAACTCCCAAGACACTGAAGAAGCCGGTTGGCTGGGCACTCGACCGCAGTCACTGACTACAGGCTAGCTGCTTACTGATACTGCAATGGTGCTAGGTCTCAACACTGTGCAGCTGCTGAAAGCTGCAAGCACAGGTCTTGGCCACCCAGCTCAGAGATAACGGACTCACTCATTCAAGTGTTTTGGTGGCCTTTCTCACCAAGGAATGTCTCCGGTTCAGTGCATGAAGGTAGCTGAGCACCTGTACACTTCCGGTTACATCTCCTACCCGCGCACTGAGACCACCAGGCTTGAGTGAGGAGAGAAGTGTTGAGATCAGAGCAGTGGAGGAAGATTTGGCGTTAGGTACTCCGACACCTTCGACCTGCATGCTGCCCTGCGAGAGCAAGCAGACCACCCGGCTTGGGGAAAGACGGTGAGCCATCTACTTCGTCAGGGTGCCATTCGCAATCCGAAAACGGGCCGCGATGTGGGTGACCACCCACCGATCACACCAATGAAGGCTGCGCCCAGGGACGAGTTCAGCAAAGGCTCGCCGTTGGCTTTCAGCCAGTGCAAGCCACCCTTGTACCCACTGCTTGATGAGGTTCCGAGTGGCGGCTGTACGACTTCATCACTCGCCACTTCATCGCTTCATTGATGCCGGATGTGGAGTATGAAGAGAAGGTATATGGGTTCCAGACTGAGCAGCGCTTGCGCATGGCAGGTTCGCGCTGAGCCTCTTGAGAGGCTTTCATCGTCAACCTGGGGGGCGAAGACTTTGCATACACCTTCCATGAGATGCGCGAGAGGCTGGGGCTGGGGCTGGGGTTTTCCTTGAGTCCTTGAGCCGGGAGCGGCGTGTTCAAGTAGAGCCCGGCTTTGGGGAAGCGTTGGCCAGCAGATCCAGTACTGCCTTTGTCAGCATGGCATAGACAGAATTGGCATTAGGGGGTGCGGGGCGCCAGGGGGTTCCTTTTCGCCATGCCCTGGCCTCAGATTCTTGAAGCACGAATGATGTGTTGAACATGAGAATTGATGGATTTGATGCAGGCCGTGGAAAAGCAAAGACTTGAATTTGAACGAGATCGACTGGGCCATGCCGCGGCTGGCCCCGGGCTCCCGGCTGACTGTGGAAGAGGCGAGAAGCCCCCTAATGTCACAGTTTGCTTTCTGAGCGCTTGGCCTCGCGAACTTGAAATCAACCGTTTGACGGAAGCGCATGTTTTTTTGTTGTTTTGCATTTTTGGAGGTCTGGGTTGAAAGCGACTTTACCAAACCGCCGGATTATTTGCCGGGCCCTGAGCAAAGCCTTTTTTTTGGTTAATTTGCAGTGAGACACACCAGTTGGTGTGTTGTTGGTGTGTCTCTGTCTGAGTCTCTGAGGAAGGAGAGTGAGCTCGTAGCGCTCATGGACAAGCATGGCATTGGAACGGATGCCAGCATTCCCCAACACGTGGCTGCCCAGCTGCAGCTTCAGCGCAAAGCCACAGCTGCTTGAAGCATCGTCGCTTTGGCAGCCTTCTGCTGTCTTCTGCAAGGAGAACATCTGCAACCGGAATTACGTGATGGTTTGCGGTCCGGGCGAAGATGGGCAGCGTGGTGAACGGATACCCAAGGGGGGCAAGAAGGGCAAGGGCAAGGCGGGCTGTCGTGTTGCGTTTTATTGCTTACTCTCTTCCGCCTTTTTGGATCTGCTTGTTGCTTCAGCTTTCACAGGGCAAAGGCAAGGACGGCAAAGCGCAGGGTGAGAGGCCGCAGTCGCGACACATGGCGCGCACCTTAGCTGGCAGGGAAGGAAAACGCTGAGTACAGAATGATGGCTTCCTGAATCTTCTGACTTCCAAGTTCTGAGGTCCCCACCTCCCTGGGTCTGAGCTTCTGCGCTGCTTTCGAGGCAGATGCGGAGTACAGACACCTTTCCCAATCTCGTGGAATCTTCCCAGGAGCTCGACGCAGAGCTGTGCCGCCCGCCCATCCGGGCTTACATGGCATTCTGGCAGATCCTAACGCCAGCTGGCCTTTCTGCAAAGCATTGTGAGCTCATTCTGCTCAAGCATTCCAAGGAGAAGCAGTGCCTGCAAGTGGCAGCAGCTTGGTGTGCAAAGCTTCATGCATCAGAGCGCAGCAAATTAGTGAGAGCAGCTTGGTTGGGAAGCCAAGGAAGGAATCCTGGACAAGGCTGCTTGTCCCGGACGTAGTGTCCTTGCCACACGACTGTAGTTCCCACCCAGCCGCTTTGTGCTGGCAGTCTGCATAGTTTCAGGAAGACGTGGTGAATGAGAACATCAAGCTCTTTGAAACTAAATTCCACAGCTTCAGGCCTGCTTGACGTGACGCAGAATGTATGCATTCATTCACGTTTGAAAGGGGTCGCCTGGCTCAGCTGGACAAGTTCTTCGTCTCGAAGGATCAGATCGGCAACAGCATGGGCTACCGTGGTGGTGGAGGTGATTGGGGTGGGGGAGGAGGAGGCGGAGGCTGGAATGGGAATACTGGGAGCTGGGACAGAGGCGGCAATGGCGGCAGCTATGGCAAAGGAAGGGGAGGTGGAAAGAATGGCCGTGGAGGGAGCTGGCACTAGCTGCTCCCATACTCTCCAGAATACTCTCCAGAACCAGTCGACGACCAAGCCTAGGCACGAAAAACCGAGCTCTTCTGAGGTTTCCCCGGTTTCCCCGGTTGTCTGCCTAAGCATCGTGATCTGCACCCAGCACGGACAAGATCTGGCACGCGGTGGTGAAGCTCGAGAGCAAGGAGGAAGAAAAAGAAAGAGTGTGCGCCCAGTGAGAAGTTGACACATTTTGGCACAGCAGTTTGGAAGGGATCAATCGGGAATTTTCCAAGGCTCAGGGGTGGTTTGAGGAGCAGCACTTGATGCCACTTACCAGATAGAAGGTGGCACTGGATCCCAAGCGACTTCAACCTTGAAGCTAGTGGATACATAACTTACATAACCCAAGCCAGCGAGCTATGGCCAAGAGCGGGTGGTGGGGATGGGTGCCTCGACTGAAAATCTTCAATCCCAAGCATGCCCGCATGGTCACACATGGTCACGAAGCAGGTGCAGGACGTGAAGAAGTCCTGCGGCTTTGTGCCACAAGCACAGAGCACCCCCATGTGGGTCCACGGCTCAGAGCAGCCATGGCTTCCGCATGGCCTGGCTTTTTTTGTGAAGATTTGAGGTGCGCAGCCGGCCAGAGGATCTCTCAGGTGGCGAGGTGCCGGGCATGAGCGATGACCTCCTGGAGCAGGTCCGTGCGCCGCCACCTCAGCCACCTCACCTCGAAGAATGGGCTCGTGCAGAGGAAGACTGAGGCCGGGCGGCTCCCTGGAGGAGAAGCTCGAGGCGGGTGACGTACTTGGTGGGAGCCACCCTGCGAAGCTGAAAGTGGCAAAGCGGGAAGGGCCGCCAAATCAGACAAGATTCCACGGCCACACATGCAAGTAACTGTGCAGCCTGGTCCGTGCGCGGAATCATGTTTCTGGGTTAGCTGAGCTGTGTCTGCTCATGTAACTACCTCAGTACCTGCCCATGCCCGTATGCATTTGGCAGTGGGCAGGAAGCATCTTGCAATGTGCCTTGAATGCTTGAAATCGCTTCTGAATTCCCAGCTTTTGCATGCGCTGGCCTTGGTCAGCTGAAAGCGTAGCTTGATGGGTCTTCACGGCGTCTCGACCAAGCCTGCACAAGGATTGCAGAGCTGCCTTCAGGCCGTTATCGATGTCTTCCGCACCAGCCAGCGACATCTTGAGAGCTGTCGCCAAACACTAAGGCGAGGAGCTGTGGGCTGAACATTTGCATCGTGGTCGTGCCCACATGTCCAACCAAACCACATGTTACCACATGTTCAACCACGTGCAACGTCTCCGTCTGTGCAACGATTTTGCTTCGCAGGCAGCAGGCGCTAGAGAGGCGCGGAGGAAGCGGGAGAAAATTGAAACAAAATAGACTCTTCTGAATTCATCTCGACTCGGTGTTTGCGAGGCGGCAGCAGCAGGGCCTGGAGCGACTGCCTGCCACCTGAGAGACCCAGTTGTTGTGTGTCTGGTGTCCTGCTCAACATGTGTGTGTTTTTTTTTTTTTTTAATGTCAGGCCACCTGAGGTAGAGGAGGCACAGTTCGCGAAAACTCGAAGCATTCCCGCAGATGCTACTCCTACTCGGCAGGTGATTGCCGGGGGAACATATTTGGACTCCTTCCTGGAGGTGGAGCTTTCTGCATCTTCAGCATTCACGTCAAAGCTTCCGTGTTGTGTCGGTAGAGCTGAGGCCTACGATGGCCAGAGCTTCCTGCTCCACAGCGAGGTTCCTTTGCAATGGCTTGATGGGGATTGTGTCATGAGGAATGACTCGATTCAACCTGTTTTTTTGAAGTGCATGTTACCTTGAACCTTTGTCTGTGTGTTCTGATGCGTCATGAGCTGCATGACCGTGCGCTGGATGCAGGAGATCGTGCCTTGCCGTCTCCCCAGAAAAAGGGGGACAGTGTGTGCGTTGTGCATACCGTAGAGCTGTGGAGGCAGTAGCCCTGGCCAAAGGGGTGCACCCAGGTCACGAGTACCGGCTGGGGCTGGAGGTTCACAAGCTGAGTTGAAGTTCCACCGTACCGGGTTGTTGACGTGCAAAACTTAAGCTGGAAAGGTGAATTCTGGCGGAGCATATTGGAAGGGCATCGCCATGCAGGAATCTGGCAGTCTTCGTGAGATTGTATGCAGATTGGCCCGTGCTCGCTTCCAGGAGGCGGCTGTGCGCCACGATGTTCAAGCCGTGGCTGCTGCCAGCGGCTTGGAAGGTGCAGCTCTGCCTACGAGATCGCCTTGCAAGGCATTCTGTGGAGATTCCTGGAGGCTCCATGAACATCATTTCGCAGTTCGGAGCCGCCCAGCGTGGCGCGGCACAGCACCCAGACGATTACTCGAAAGGTCCTGACAAAGGCATGTAAATCAGGTCTTTGCCTGGCGTTGGCAGCATGTCCTCGATGCTGGCCCTTATAGCCTGCCGCAGTGGCTCGCCCCTTGTCTATCAGTCTATCAGGTTCCTGTTGCCTCTTGAATCAGCTTTGTGTGGAAGCTGCTTCATTTCATCCCAGGAAAAGGCCCTGGGTGCTGAAGGCCCAACGACATGCATCCGCAGACAAAAGGTCAAAGACGGTTTCTGGGGGCTTTCTTGAAATCAGGCAACGATCCGCTCCGGAAACTGCAAGCGGAGTTGGAGGCGGTTCGGAGATGGGAGCATCAGGCGCAACACACCTGCCAAATACCTGCCAACTCGACACTTTGTGGCCTTGCGCTGGCAGGTGCAGCAGGATACCTGCAAGTACATCAAGGGCGACAATGAGGTCAAGGACCCTGCGACAAGAACTGCATGGAGGTTTGAAGGAGGTAGAACTAAGCAGTCTTACAAGCCTCTACAGGAAGCTTTCAAGTGCCGAAAAAGAGGGTTATTGTGGAATCGTGCATATTTGCCAATCGGCATTTCTTGATTCGGAGGCTACGGCTCGGTGCGTGATGAGCAGAAAAGGGGTCCGGCTCTTGTGGGTTTGTTTTGTCGGTTCTGTTTTCTTGTGATAGCGGAGCTGTGGTCCTGGAGCCTAGGGGTGTGAGTTGTTCTGTTGGTGGGTAGCAGTGCAGGGTCGTGCCTGGCTTAGGGTAGCCTGAGCCATGGCTAGTCATCACTCACCGGGCCTGTTTTGGGAGCGTGTTGAGGATGAGGACGAGACGGTCTCTGAGGCAACCGAGCTTGCACCAGGAGCAGCGGGCCAGCTTTTGACACCATTGAGCGCGGCGAACGCTCGAGACTTTCATGAAGACCCCAGCAAAGTGCTGAGCTAAAGCCAGAAGATGGACGCCCATTTTGGGAAGTGGCCTGCGTCCTCCACGAAAAACCTCAGCGAAGCAAAGGTCCCATGGTCATTGGGACGTGGTCAACGGGACTGGAGAAGACGACCGGTACTGGTCATGGAGACTTACGGGAACCGGTCGGAATGTGGAGCGGAAGCTCCCAGCGAGGTGGAGATCCCCTTGCCGCAGCTCTTGGGACGTGGAGGCGGAGATGAGACGAGACCAGGCGAGGACTTCTTGCTCCTTGGCGCGCTTCTCCGGACGAACGTCGCGGTAGCCCTCACAGATCCTTTAAGGATTCGACGCGAGCTCGTCGTGGTACCCTTGCTGACGTCCCAGGTCCTCCCGTTCTACACGATTCGGCACGAGCCCTTCGCCACCTGCAATTCAGGATCAGGATGCTCGAGGCCCGAGTGCCGCGCATCAGATGCCAGGAGAGTCGTGGAAGGATTATCTGCGGTCCGTGGACTTCTGGTTTGCCTCCGTCCATGAAGGAGAGGGCAGCTAAGATCCTTGCCCACTTGGATGTTTCGGAAGTGCCCCCCCCAGAAGGAGTGGACCTGATCCGTACGGAAATGAAGAAGTCGCCCATCATCTGCCTCCAGAAGCGCAGGGAGGTGGATCGCAAGCGGAAGAAGTTCATGTGACTGGCCCGGCAGGCCAAGGAGTCCTTGGAGTCTTTCATAAACAGGGCTTCGATCTATCGCTTTGAGAATGCCCGGTCGCAGAACTACCGCGAGAAGTTCTAGCTGGGCCATCTTTTGGACACTGCGAAGTTCCTCCCTCGAAGTAGATGTAGTCGTACTGGTCGCCCGTCACCTCTCCAGGGCGTTGCCGTAGAAGCCCTTCAGACGATTGTTTTATCTCCACAGGAACAGCGGAACAGCCTCCCATTGTACATCCGAAGGACAGGGCTCAAGGAGATCGGCGCTCCAAGGTCTTGGCCGCAGCGTTCAGAGCCCGAGTTCCCCAAGCTTCTGGCGGGGAGACCCAAGCTGTCATTGCTATCCTCGGGGATGCCAAATTTGAAGCGCGCGGTGCACCTACAGGTTGCTGACGAGACAGTGATCCGCGACGCAGGTGATCTTCGCTGTCAGATCTGTGATACTGTAACCCCCCTCAGGCGGCGGCCTTTGCTCAACTTCAGATTCAATTCAACGATTCAATGATCGCGTGGTGACGGATGTGTTCTTCATTTGGGACGTGGTGCGTGCAGTGGATGCCTTCTCCTTGCACCAAGTAGCTACCTTGATGCCGAATCGTTAAGCCAACCTAACATGGTAGCGCGCTTTCTTAATTCCTTAAGAACTACTGGGTTTGTGTTTTGACCGAGAGTTTCATGCGTGCGTTCGACGTCCGTGGATAGGCCTTGCTGAACGACATGGAGCCGTCCTCAAACTACTGATCATGAAGACGATTCAGGCCACCACTGCAGCCGGATACTCCGAGGTGAAAGACGTCCGCTATGTGCTGAAGCAGGACTTGAATTTCGACGAGGCCCGCTGCAGGAAGGAACAAATTCGTCAAGCCGCGGAGCAGGCCTTCCTCTGGGCAGATTCCAACGGGACTGTAAGGAGGGCTTTGAATTCCAAGTCATGCCATCCCCGTGTGGAGATGTTGTATGAGGGCGCCATGCTCCACTACTATGATCCGCTTCCATCGAGAAAGGGATTACCCCGCCGGCTACAAGGCTACAACATCAAGTGTCCTGGACGGGCCCCGCTGTGGTGGCAGCCTTGGAAAGGAAAGAAGGCAGCGTCAAGAGCGTGTGGACCGTGTGGATACGAACAAGTTGAATTCGGGAGTCCCCTTCAAGTTCGTGCGATTGGCCGCTTTGGAGGAGGTGGAGTCCTCCAAGATATGCCAAGAGGCGTTGAAGGAGGGTGCAACCGCAGATCGAAGAAATGGCTGAGCTTGAGGTGGATTCTGATGCCAAGGTGGTAGAGTTCAGTGGAGATGAAGAAGACCGAGAAGATCCTCAATGTCCTTTTTGAGAAGCGCGACGCGAACGAAGCGCGGGCCCCGTCCGGGAGAACCCCGACCATGCGGGGGCGGTGACTTCTGGCAGGGAGGATAGCTGGAGAATGGTTACGGCGCCCTCTCCAGAAGTAGGCTTTCGAGGATGGCTAGGTGCTCAACTATCGGTTTGGGCTATGGACGTCTACGTCAACCATGAGACAGTGGAGCCCGTGCAGTTGGAGAAGATCCTTCCTTCTCGGTTTGTGCTCGCCAAAAAGAGCAAGTCAGAGGAGTTGGACAAAGCCGTGCTGAAAGCTTGCTGGGTGTTCGCTGGGCATTTGGGCCGCGAGGCCGGGGAACATGCCGCCGAGGCCCCTGCCGCCAGTCTGGCGGCCCACAACTTGATCTGCTTCCTGGCAGCGCTACGCGGACATCTCGGGCTTTCCTTCAAGGAGAAAGGCTTGATGACCAACGCGTTGTCTGTATCAGGTTCCTTAGAAAATACCCTGACCATGTCATTGATCACCTCTTGAGACTTCACGGCAAGGCCAAGGTCAGTTTTCGACGGACACCGTGAAGCTGACCAAGGGTGGCTTCGGTTTGGCGCGAGTCACCGCGGCTTTGGTACCGGGTTTGAAGAGAGCGGTGTTGGAGATTGGCCTCATTGACTTTAAGCCTTTAAGCTGTCTCGAGGGACTTTCGTGTGCCACGTGAAGGGGGTCTTCCGCGGCATCCTGGCCTTTCATCTGGACGACCTCAGGATCGCGCCTTTGGCAAGTGGAAGTTGGCGACATAGGGCCTGCTTAAGTTTTTTGTGGGAGATGGGAAAGTCAGTGTCGCGTCACCTTCAAGGTGACGGTCTGCGTGGACGGCTTGAAGGGCCCTCCTCAAGCCGCTGGAGATCGTCTCTGACTGAAGGAGTGCAAATGGTGCAAATGGATCTCCTCCATCGGCCGGCAGATCAATTGTGGTTGACACGCCTGGGGCGAGGTGACTTGGCATTCGGGATTTTGAAGGTGCAGCAGATGGCTGGAGGCAAGGACCCCGCGACCATGCAGTACCTGGGTCCCTTGGTTGGTGGCAGCTTGGAAAACATGGTTTTCCTTCGCGTTAGTGGCCTCGCCAGGATCTATGCCCAGAGGACGTTCGCAAGGTGGCCTCATGGTTGTGTTGGCGGACGAGTCGTGCTCGATGGTGACGCCGCCGTTAACTGTGCAATGTACCGCTCGGCAGTCTTAAACGAGTTGTACGCTAAAGCCTTGCTGCAGAAACTTCTCAAGCTGCCGAAGCACTTCGATTTTATCCGAGTGCTCACATGGCCGAAATTCTCGACTCCAAGTTCGTGCTTTCCCAATGGAGGTGGTCTGTGAGCAAATGGCGCGAAGTGCTAGTGCTCGATGCCACCACTGGCTACGATGTGCTCAACCTCTAACATGTTAGACAGAATTTGACAGAATCCTGACTAACATCCTATTCAGGGTTCTAGTCAGAAAATAGGATATACAGTTTATGTTACAGGAGGCTAACGATAGTTTATTGAGACACATAGGATATAGTTTATTTAGTAAATACAATTAAATACACTATTTTCCAAAGTTTAGTTTAACACACAGACTTTCTTCAAAGTTGATGTTAATAAATAGATTCTATTTCAAAAGTGTAAGTGTAATTTTATATATAGACTATATTTGAAGCGTGTATTTTCGTAAATAGACTATATTTTGAAGTTTATTTCAATTTACAAACTAGATTTTCACAATTTATGTTACAAAGTAAACTTTGGGCCATGTTTTTTTCAAAGGGTTGGCTCTACC